CAGCTATAAACCCAACTCTCAGCAGATCTGTTTGGATGTTAAATATGAGTTGGTTTAATTTAATTTATAAAAACAAACATGGTGCCGCTGTGACCTTCTAGGCGGTTAGTTAGAAACGTAGTCAACAAAACCACTGTGAAGCCAGCAACAACTCAACAAATAAGTCATAAAGCACAGATAAAAGATGTCATCACCAAACAGCCCCTCCTCAAACTGCATGTTTTCCTCATTTATCTGTGTATTTGCAAAACATGACTACGAACAAGGTGCTGTTTTGCACCTTGGGATGCTCCCTGGGAATGACCCGGTCTTCATGCAGAGCAGCCTGCAAGGGTGGGTTGGCTGCAGGGATAGATGGAGTCTGAGCACTGTCTCCATCTTGGTTGGCAGGAGGAAAGACATGATGCTCACAGGGGAAACGAAGAAGGATTAAGCCCTTCTATGGTAGTTATGTACTACACTGCTACCTATGTGAGAGGCAAGTCTATCACTATTGTACAGTATGTGGAAGAGATAAAGTAGTCATGGGATCATCTGTGTTATGCAGGTCACATAACAACCAGGGTTATGTTATCTCCAGATGTGGACCACTCTATGTGCCTTAGCCATTGGGTGTCCCCTCTCACATGACATGTCAGTCAGAAGCCCTGAGTGACCCAGTCAGAGGGGAGGACAATGAGATGGAGACTTGAGGAGCAGGAGTTATTTTCCAGTCCACTCCATGCCCTGCACTTTTAAACTTTACCTGCTCTTCTTCCTGCCCAGGGGTGCACTCCTGCAGCCTGGAGAGCTGCACAGAGCCTGTCACCACCGAGTCCCTCGGGCACATGTGTGGAGGGTTGCTGGAAGGCAGTGAAGACCTCTGGGTGGCAGTGACTGCTGGGTGAGCCTTGTAAGCAGATCAACGTTGTGTCTCTCCCCCCTTGCATCTCCCAAGGGCTGAACAGCTCATTGGGGAGGACGACTGATCTACCTGTGGAGAAGGGAGCACCTATGGGAAGATGATGGTCTGCCATCAGATTAAATCAAGATTTAAAAGGGAAGGGACAAAGGTACATGCTGGTCCCCAGAATCAAATGCTGTGCATGGAACAATTGCTCTAGCACCTGAAATTATTGCTCTGTACACAATCATTTACCTGGTGAATCAGAGAGTTCCGTCCTAACCCTGCAGCATGATAGGCCACTGTGCTGCAGAAATATGCCCCAAAGCTGCACGGGGGAAAGGAGCGAGGATGGCGGTGGTGATAAGACCAGCAGAGGGAGGAGAAAGAGAAAGGGTAGTTTTATGGTGCTGAGTCACGGTGTTGCCCAGGCAAGGTCTGAGAGCAGAGTAGGCAGGGTTAGAGCAGGCGCAAGAGTCATCAAGGAGAAATCTCACTGCTTTGGGCGTCACCGGCCAGCAGGGTCACTACCTGCAAGCTCTGGGAGCTGAGCTGGCAAAACTTAAACAGAGGGAGTGTGGAGGGGGGAAATCTTCATGTTGACTCTCCAGAGAGGCCGTAAAATTGAAGTTATGAAAATAGTGAAGCGTGGCAGAGGGCCACTGAGTTATGTCAATTCTCCACAACTGGAGTTTGGATTGTGAGCAAAATGAGCTGGGAGTGTCATATCTACTGCGTAAAATGAGTATGTATTTATGGATCAGGTATGTGAGATAAGGGAATGACAGGCAAACTTAGATACATAACTGTCGCTTAAGCCACTATAGTACGTTTGTTAGTGACCTGCTGTGCCTTTCTCATTTTAGCATGAACTGATTAAAAAAGACTGAGGAGCAATGAAAATACTTGAAATGCGTTTTTACAGAGATGGTTTCTTCTGTTGGACTAGATGGTTGCAATTGCACAATAACTAATTTAGGCTTTCTCAGCAGCTCTTTCAAGGCTGAGAGCTGTTGCTGGACAAGTATTGTGCATAATAAAATGCATTCTGCATTTTATCCCATTTTAGGCACATCCTGTATCAAGCCTCATTTCTACAAGCATCCCTCATCTACACTCACCTAACCGAACTCGTGCCCTGTGCTGCGCTTGCATCAGCACAGTCCTGCTGCATGTTGTCTCAGCACCAGTGGGTGCTATAGTTACGGGTATATCCCAGCATCTGTTTCCCCTAATCAGCGGACTGTTTAAAGGGGTAAATGGTGAGGGGCTGGAGCCGAACATGGAACAACTCAAGCGAAGCGCTGCACAGAGCAGCACCCCTCTCACTCAATCCAGCTCTGAAATTGTTTAGACTGAAGGGCTCTGTGTGGCTGTGAAATAGTTTCTATCAAGTGCTAATACAAGGAAACGCCAAAGAGTTTCTCGGAGTCAGGAGTCCATTCTTAAAATTGTTGTTTTGTCACATTGCTTTTAAGTGAGTTTGTGCAGTCTTTTAAAACTGAAAGCCAAGTTTAGGTGCAGTCGTCGAGCCAAATCCATAATCTTGCCATAGTTGGTGAAAATTATGCTGAGAGAAGTTAGTCATACAGTTGGGTCTGAGAACTCCATAAGCTTGTTAGGAGAAAAGACTATTTGTTGGTACATTTACAGTCCTGGCATCATCTGTGGCCCTCAAGAGGAATCTTTGAAATTCAGGTTGAGTCTTCACAGCCCAGAAGGATCTCAGAGCTCCTCCTGTTGAGTTCATACACTGTGGCTCTGAGACGCACTCACTTGGCGGGGCAGGCTGGTGAGCAGTCAGTGCACAGCAGCCCTCGGTAAGGAAATTTTTGGCCAAAGATGTGGGTTAAATCCAGGTCATATTATGTGTTCAGCTAATTTGCTTGTAGTTTCTTTGGCAAGGACTTGGGGATGTGCACACGTGCATAGATTCACATACGCTTTCCATCTCCTCCTGTGTGGAAGCAGGCACCGCTCCTGTTTTTCCTGTGTAGGATCTGTGATCTATTGTGGTAGCTGCATAGTGCGGTACTGCCTCCAGTAAATATTCACAGATTTCCTTGTAAGCTGATGCTTTTTTTTCTTTGCTCTCTCCTGTGTGGATACACAAAGGCATGTGTTGTACCTGCTTTACCCTGTGGGATCTACATAATCAGGTCCACGGGTTTTAACGGATTTCAACTCCCTTCTGTCTACGGATACGGTTTCCTGTCTCGTTTTGAGCAGGAAGAGCCGAGTCTTTTTTGGTCTTAGCATTCCTGCTTGCCTAGGCTTTGGGAAGAGTTCTCTGGCTATTTTCCTGTTTGATTTTTGTGCGTGTTTTGTTTTAAGCAGGACAGAGTGCATGTGTGTATGTAATCCATGTGCTCAATTAAGAGAGGCATCTGTTGGGTTTGTTTCACATTGCCGAGGAAGGACTGCAAGCAGGGAGCATCTGCTCGGCTTTTTGTCAATGGCTTGTTTTTCATAATTTGCTCTACGGGGTGAACGTTTGGGGAGGGGGAGGTGGCTTTTTATTTCTGAGTTTCATCTTAAATTTATTTTTATGGTAGCCAGGGAAATTGGCTGGGATTTGAAAGCTAATTTCGCTAAGAAAAGAACTGAAGAGGGAGAAACAAAACCATCCAAAGTAAATAGTATTTATGTAACCTTAATAATACACGAAGAAGGACCCTTATAAACCATTATTTGCAGTATTTTAATGACAAAGTAAAAATAATTTGTTATGGTGCTTTTTTAACACCAGTGGGGATTTTTGCTTTGTGTTTTTTTAAAAACTAGCAAATTTTGGTTAGATTTTATTTTGGGGAAAGATAGGAAAGGCATCCAACACTAAGATGCTTTTTTGGCATTTTGTCAACAACAACAACAAAAAAAGTCTGGTTCTAAAATAGAGTAGCAGTGGTTTCCTGTTCTTACAGTTTTTGCTTTTGTGCATTCAGAGGTCGGCTCTATTGCACCTAGCTGACCTAGTGAGAGATTTAATTGTCTGTAACGTATGTGCTTCAAAGGCTACTAAACCTGCTGGGAGCGTTTTATACGCGTGTGCTTTTTACACTTTTTTTGTGGAAACGTCCTCCAAAAGGGCTGTGGAGGATAATGACTTTGTGATGCCCCGGGAGGACACGGCTGCTGGAGTAGCGTGCGGAACTCAGGAGGAGAAAGCCTGAAATTCCCCCTGATCCCACAAGTGAAAGACAAATCTCACCCATCGCAATCAAACAAACAAGGATACAATCTTGCAGGTGTAGATGTAGACGCTGTGCAAGAGTAACCTGACTAGGGCAAGATTTGGGTCTTACTGAAAGTATTTAAAGAAATGGGATTAAAAAAATAGTAATCATATCTTGCTCTGCAAGTGAACCCCAAGCCAGCACATTTATTAAGCCACAAGCCACTCTGAAATGGTATTAAATCTGTATCTTCCATGCCACAAGTTGTCATGGAAGAGGAAGAGTGAAGCGTTAACAAAAATAACTTTCCTGACAGTTCAGTCCCACTCCTTAGCAAGAGAATAATATATATATTATATATAATTATATATAAATATGTAATTTAAATATTATATAATATATAACAATATAAGTATGTGTAACTTTTCTGTCAGATGAATGCCACGCAGCTGAACAACTTTGTTGACATCAGTTAACGGTTATAAAAGCAGACGACAGCAGTCGGCGTGAAAAAACCTAAGTGTAGGGCTGACTGCAGGGAGCAGGCAGACAAGCTTACTTCTGGGGCTTCAAGTAACCTTGTGTCACAGAAAATCATGGAACCTGAAGTGTAAAAGGACAAACCACAGTAAACTCTGTAGTAGCAGGAAAGTATTTTCATTGCTTGAAAAAAAAAATAAAATTCAAACTTATATATCACAATATAAGTATGTGTAACTTTTCTGTCAGATGAATGCCACGCAGCTGAACAACTTTGTTGACATCAGTTAACGGTTATAAAAGCAGACGACAGCAGTCGGCGTGAAAAAACCTAAGTGTAGGGCTGACTGCAGGGAGCAGGCAGACAAACTTACTTCTGGGGCTTCAAGTAACCTTGGCTGTCACAGAATCATGGAACCTGAAGTGTAAAAGGACAAACCACAGTAAACTCTGTAGTAGCAGGAAAGTATTTTCATTGCTTGAAAAAAAAAATAAAATTCAAACTTTGTCATCACATTAAAAACATTACATGAGAAGTAATAAACATATTTACACTTCTGTTTTGATTATAAATATACATTATATACAAAATAATGTTATAAAACGTAGAAAGTTCAGTGCTTCTGATTTTTTTTAAATTACTGAAGTACTAGTCTTCAAAATAAACTACAAACAGACAAACTAAACCCCATATTATTGATTTCTGAAGGTCATCTTCAAAATGGTCCTATGTGGTCAGAGCAGAAGGTCAGTAGTGGACATTATGAAGGGGTCTTGTCTGCACAGTTCAAGGCAGTAGATGGGCTAGTCCAACAACAGGATTTACAAGGGCAGGAATATCGCTGTCCGAGAGATAGCACGGTCCAGGTTTCTTCGAAGAGGTCTTGTTTCCTCCCTCCTCATTCTGCCCCACCCCACGGTCTCATCTCATTAGCGGCACAGCACTTTCCACTGGGGTGTCCAGTATTATTGCTGTAAATACGTATATAAGAAAAGAGTTTCTGCACGCCTCTGCTTTCCAGAGGCAGGCTTCCCCTTTTCCCTGTAGAGGTGGGAGGGTATGAAAGAAACAGGACGAGCCTAGACCCTTCTAACTCTAATCTCCACCTGTCTTGGCAGAGGGCATCTCAGTGGGTGCTTCGCTATCGGGCATTTGGAACCGGGATGAAGGACAGGAGCTGGAGTTTTGCAACCAGATGGAGAAATGGGCGGGGTCACACTGCTGCTTCTTCAGAAAGTAACAGCTGCAATTTTGAGACTATTTGCAGTAGAAGGTGTCACCTAATTCAGAAACATGACATAAACCCCCAAATTTGTGTCAAAATAAGGCAGGAGGGAGAGAATGAGGAAGGAGAAGAAAAAAGTAATGTCTATTCACAATCACTGGTAGTGCAAAGGGCATGAAAACAGCTGAGACAGCTCAGCACATAAAGGTTCTAGGAGCTGATTGATTTTAAACGCATTTGTAAGGCTTTAAATAGAGCTGGGATCACGCCTCCTCCTTATCAATGGGGAAGAGGCAGTACACATTCCTTATCACAACTTTTCCTTCTCCAATGTTTAAATCCACAAAAATCCCGTCCCATATTGTGGCTTGGGTCAATCAGTTCTCCAAAGCATCACCATATGAGATGACATGTAAATTCGATATTCCTCTTTCCTTCCTCGTCTCGCCCCTTACACAGTCCCCAGTACATGCAGCAGGAGAGAGGAGACGCACGTAGATGTGTAGCAGGAAGTATCAACCACCCCTGCCCAATACTGTTCAGGTAACTGCAAAAAGAGCAGTCAAGTCTCTGTTTGGGCTTGTTAGATTCTCTTGACACATTTTAGGCACTTTTAAACCCAGAAAAAAATGGAGACCTCGTTTATACTGTATCCATTATCTGCACAGCAATGTGTCTTTCTTCACACCTTCCACGGCAACATCTGTGATAGTTAAGTGCCTCCTCATCTACCGGCACCTCCCATAACCAGAGTTCTGGAAAGCCAGGGGTCTGTCCATGAGGAACTGGCCTCAGTATCTTTTGAAAACAAATTGAAACAACAACATTTTTAACGCCTCTCTCTTCCTTCTGCCTCCCCTCTTCTATAGCCAATGAGATTCTGGTATCAAACTTCAAACAAGGGCAGTAAGAACAAAAAGGTGTATTGCATCTTTCAGTAAATTCACAGTCTGTCCAGTTCACCCAGTTCCATCCTCCGCCTGAGAGCAGCAAGTTGCATGTAATTAAAAACAGTCCAATCCAGTTCTGAATTGTAAACAATGCAGCAGGAACGTCCATCTACTGGCATTACCAAATCTGAGGTGCAAATGGGCTGATCTTCAGTCTTATACCTGTCAGGATATAAAATAATACCAGGAATGAGAAGGAAGCACAGCATACAGAGCACTGCAGAACTAACGAATTGTAATTCAAGTATGTGAAACCAAAGCAATTTAAGCCAGACATGACTGCAGTTTAACTATCAGCGTTCAATGTTTTTGCCTGTGTCCAGAGACAAAGAATCACCAGCAAAAGAAGTCATCTGTATGATGAGCAGCCTCTCTACCTGGACTGAGGGGAAGAATGCTTACAAATCTGGGTGCTTAACATTAGGTCTCTGTAAAAAGCATATGGTGTAGTTAAATAGCTTGTGTTCAGAAGCATTAAGCCTGAAGGATGTGGAGAGAGGTTTCAGAGGCTGTCATTCTGAAAATAAAAACACTTCGGAGATGCCTGAGGTAAATCTGGGAGTCTAGCTTTGCTCAGCAAGATCTTCAAAGGAAGATACGGTATTTAGGTCAGTTAATGGGAATGAAGCGTCTAGCTGTCATTTGTATCTTTGAAAATCCTTTCACTTAGTCTTAAACTTTTAATATTGTTGGTTGACTTGCATTCCGGCTTGCCTTCAAGAGGAAATCTGATATCCACCCTGGCAAGGGAGACAGAATCCTGCAGATCTGACTTCACAGATCACTGCTATATGGCACAGCAAGCTTCTCTTTCCTGGAGTCTGAAATTAGTCCTGAAGATGGCTACACTGAAGAAGGCAGGTACTGGTTAATGTCAAATTGCCTTTAACTTCCATTGAGCCTTTTTCCAAAGGGTCAGTAATTCTTCAAAAACTGGTTGGTTCCTCAATAGCTGCTTTTTAAAGTCTTTAAAGTTCAATGCTAGGCCCTTCCTTTTTCGTGTATCTGTCCTCTGACTTTTCAATATAACATCAAAATCTAGATGTGTTTATCAATGACAGCGTTAACTTCTGTTAGAGAATATATAGCTGGAGCTTAAACGCCAAGAGGTTGAAACTACCTTATTACAGGCTTCCTAAATGGCCGTTACGCCTATCCACTAACACACGCAGCTACCTTCCATCTTTTGCTGGAAATCTATAGCTTTGCCTGTTTCCACAGAACACAGATTATCCATTGTAGTCATGAGAAAAAAACGTGGCTTTACATCAATGGGTCTATGAACGATTATTATTTCCATTTTTGCTGACTACCTATTTAAGAGGAAATAATCCTACAGTGTGCTGAATTTTTATGGGCTGATGTTCCATGCTTTCATCTCCCGCTGACTTATCTAAGCTCAAAATCTCTGGTTTAATAAAATCAGAGCTGCTAATTTCTTTATTTTCCCCACTGTATGTTCCGTGTGGGCCACAGGAGAGGAGAGGGGAATGCTGGGAAGCAGTAGGATCCCTGGAAAGAGAGTAACCTTCTCAGATGCAATTCTAAAGGATAATTTACGCCTTTACTTTGTGAATTTATGCCTGTACACCTGTGTACTTACTTACCTCTGTGGCTATGATGCACTCATTCCTTTCTTCTGCTATCACAAAGACAGACTGGTACATCGAATCCCTCGGAGAGCATATCGCTGATATCCTACATTCCGGCTTTTCACTAAGGCAGGGCAGAGAGAAAAGAACATTAGTTGACTACTAACAAGCCTGACTCAAAATCTACGATGAATATGGAGGGGTGGAATGAGATAGCCGTGAAGGTGTGGGAGGGAAGTGCAGAGGATGAAGTTTCACATGTTCTGTATGATGGCAGGACATTATACTAGAAAAGTGGAAGCAAGGAATAGCTACTGTCTTCCTATGCTTCTGCCATGTCCAACCTAACAGTGTGCTCCTCAGATCCCTCAGTGTAACAGCTGCAAGCAGATCCCAGACAAGACTTTCAGTACATGTATCAGAAGACTGATCAGCCAGTGAACACCTGCCCTTTTCTTTTTTTGAAAAAGAGTAGTTATTTTTACTTTATCGTTCTTCTCAGTAAGCAGATCATTTTGCCTTCTTAATAAGCAAAATACTTATTTTTAATCGCTATAGGCCTTAACTGTTCTTCCTCCAAGATCTACCGAGAAAGACACTTCTTACTTTCACCACTGACCTAGCCACTCCCCTTCCCCTTCACTGTACCCACACTAGCAGCACCCTGCACAAACACTCAATTTAATGGACTTAGCTAAGGATACCACTTGGCCATGACACACATACTCCAGTATGAAGATTCCTGGCTTTGCTCTGGTTTGTGTTGTATATTATCTGCTCGAGGTTTCTCTTTTCCCCATATTTTCTCATCTGCTTCTAGACCGGTATGAAGATGAGGGGCCTTAAGAAAGACTAGAAGGAAGACTGGATTCTCACCTGTGTAGTCGGAGGGGAGACTTTTCTCCTAAACACTTTTCACTTTTGTAATATTTATCTTCCTGTGTCCCTCTACTTGTCAGGTCTTTTACCAGATTGTAGTCCAGTTTATGATTCTTGGGTTTGTAGTTTGATTTCTCCAGCCCACAGTCCACTTCAAGGTCTTTATTTTTATTGGTGTTTTTGAGCTGGGAAGCTGGAATGAGATTGTCCTTCTGGAAGTCAGACAGGTTGTTCATTGTCTCCAAGTCCTGCTCTGGGTGCATCCTCATCTGCCTGATGACCATTGCTATCATGCAGAACAGTATGAGCAAAGCCACCAGCCCCACCCCCATGGATATAGCAATCCAGGGGACTGGTTTAGGAGGAAGTGTAACGGGCACTGAATAAACTGGCAATTCGCAACGGTTGCCCATGAAGCCAGAAGGACAGTAGCAGACAAAGTTGGCACTATAAAGTCCGCTGTAGCACGTGCCTCCATTCTCACATGGCCCAGAAGCACACTCATCTCTGGTTTTGATGTCACAGTTCCTGCCACTGTAGCCTGGCAAGCACGTGCAGGTGTAATCGTTGATCAGATCATGACAAGTTCCCCCATTGGAACATGGGTTTCTGGCACAATCATTGATGTTTATCTCACATTTCTGACCAGAGAAACCAGCCCGACAACGACACACACGAATCTGACCAAGGTAAAAGCAATTACCATCTGAGGAAAAAAAAGTAAAATAAAAAAAATTAGTCTGCAATGCACTTGACTTGGAAACCTAAACCTCTCCCCGGTTAGCATTTTATACTATCTCAAGAAGAGGGAGGTTATTTTACAAAACAACCGCACATCTAAAAGTTCCTTCTAGTTTACCTGATTGTATCACCATGCCTTAAAAATATGCCCCTTCTAAGTATATAATAAAGTTAATTTAATTTACTTAATTCTGCCATCTTCCCCATCACATGATAAACCTTGTGCATTGTTTTGTTGCACAGAAAATGCCAGTGAAAGCGCCCCCCCCAGCAAGAGACTAAAATTAGGGTAGACGTGAAATACAGTGGGGGAGAGAGACTAATGTATTAGAGAAAGAGTAGAGGTCAGATTGGATTTCTATCACTTCTGCACTGAAAAGCACAAACGAGTCAGAGACACGAGATTTTTTTGATAAAAAGACTCACCATTTGCACATGGGTTGCTTGTGCACCTGTCTACTTTTTTTTCACAGTTTGACCCTGTGAAGCCGAAAGGGCAAATGCAAGTGTAGCTGGCCCCTTGTTCTTTTTCCAAGCACGTGCCACCGTTAAAGCACGGTGAATCTACACAGGTCAAAGCGCTGTGCTCACAGTGAGTGCCATAGTAGCCAGGGGGGCACAGGCAGTGATAACCATTCTCCATGTCCTGCAAAACACAACATTAGGCCACTGTTATTTGATGGCACCAAATGATAGCTGCTTGCATGCTTATTTTTGGTTGGCAGCAAGAGCTGTTCAGTCCCTTCTCATCCACACCCTGATGTGGCAAAAGTGACATTTGGAGAGTAAATAACTGCAGGCTGGCCTGTGAGGGATAGAGCGGTGAATCGGCCGTACTTAGCATTGTAGGAGTAATCATGCAGCTACACAAGCAGAGCAGATGCAGTTGTAGGGAGCCTACAGGCAGCTAGACAAAAACATTACTAACACCACTACTGTCTAATGGGATCCCCGAGGTCCTCCCAAAGCAGAATGGCATGTGTAGACCTACACAGCTGTGATCAGGCCATTTATCCTTGGCATAAGAGCCCTTTTTTTCTTTACAAGGGCTTACGTTGCTTTGCCATGGATAAGTCCCACCACTTAGATCATGACAAAACTGTTTCTTCTTTCCAAGTACTGTATGTCCAAGGCCTTGGGAGAAGGGAGCTACGGTCTTGCGCCATTAGCTTTAATCTAAACATGCATCAGATTACATTTGAATCTATAATCGATCAGTCTTTATCAACAGGTAGAATCAATCATTGACTGGGTCCGAAAACACACAGAAACACTAGACTGCAGGAAACTAAAAATGCAGGACCCTGCTTCACAGAAAGTGTTTCAGCTGATTGCCCTCATATTGTCTGACACTACGCTCCCGTAACAGAAAGCGGAAGTTTTCTTTTATTTGCTATTAAAATGCAGACTTAGCGCATTTCTGTATGAAGCTTGGTTTGAGAAGCTTTTTTTTTTTACAGATCTGCTCCCTCACCAACCTTGGATCTTGCCAAGCTCTCATAATGGCTGCCACAGAAACCTAAGGATCAGTTGACTAGTTCTAATCTAGATGATACATCTCCTCCTGTAACAGACTTCCTCCCCTGACACCTCTCGGGAAGGGTTCAGTATGATAGTTGTGAGCGTCAGTAATGAACCTGTGTACTATCGAATTCCCATTATGCTGTTACAGAACCATTTCTGAAAAGGTATACCGGGGCTTGCTTCACACAAAGACTTTACATTTAAAATGCCCTTACCGTGCAACTACCGCCATTCCTACAGGGATTGCTGTCACACTCGCTGATCTCGTGTTCGCAGTCAACACCGGTAAAGCCAGGTTTGCAGGAACACGTATAGCTGCCCTGGCCAGTGTTCATGCACGTTGCTCCGTTTTTGCATGGTCTGTGGTGAGTGCAGTAGTTCAGATCTGCAAAGATACCAGGAGTTAGAGAAAACATCTCTGACAGCTGGGAAAGGACATTCATACAAAAACACTTTAGACAACAAAAAAAGACAGAATTTTCAATGAAGTATTTCATTTTGCTATCAAAAGGAATATTGGAGATGATTATCCAGGCTATTATCAGTAATAATCAGATGTTTCAGATTATCATCGATTTTAGATATTTCTCTACGTCCATCACTGTAATACATGAGCTCTGAATTTTGAGAGACCTGGCAAAAATTTAACTTTCTTAGTGCTTTGGTACACTCTCCATTTTTTGTGTGCACCCGTTAGCTGCAATGGGATTTAAATGCCAAGTTGGAAAACTTACTTCCTCAGTGTGTGTTCTCTGAAAGACACGCCACGGCACTATAGACACTTTGTGCACAACAGAATACATACTAAAACAGTGAGCCCCATCTTTAAAAGGTGTGCTCCGAGGCACATTCTGGGGAGGCAGGAAGGAAATAAAGATGTTTTGGCTTGGAGATTTAAACAAACACTAGAAATCTTTTACTGTTTATTTACCATGCTCTCTTGTTATGAATGTTAGTAGTTTAAACTGTCTAAATGCTCTACTTTGTGCACAACAGAATACATACTAAAACAGTGAGCCCCATCTTTAAAAGGTGTGCTCCGAGGCACATTCTGGGGAGGCAGGAAGGAAATAAAGATGTTTTGGCTTGGAGATTTAAACAAACACTAGAAATCTTTTACTGTTTATTTACCATGCTCTCTTGTTATGAATGTTAGTAGTTTAAACTGTCTAAATGCTCTGCCAAGCTTGGCGGTCCTTTTTTTTTTTTTTCCTTTAAATTTGAGACAGAGGTTAAGCACACAAGTTCATAGGACACAAGCAGAAAATCTTTATTATCTCTATAAATACCACAGAGTAATTGGAATACAACTGGTTAATAGATAACTACAAGCAGAAAAAGATCTGCAACTTTACTTTTCCGGCTTAATTCAGACTTCGCCATCTTAATCCTATAACTGTCTCGAAAACACTTAGCTTGCTTTGAGCACTTGATGATCTCAGTGCCAGCAGTGCATATATGGCCTTGAGGACATGACTGCTCAGCTGGCTACGGTTCAGTGATTCAATGGGTTGAATAGGTGGAAGTGGTCTGGTGTACCTTAAAATGGAACCTGTACTTTTCATTCTTGCTTACATGATTTTTCTCTCATGCTCCAGACTTATCACATGAGTTAACTTCCTTGTATGCAAAATAAGGAAGGCCCAAATGATGGTGTTTACTGCTGCTGGAAACTGTTTAGTAAATTGTTATAGTTGTACAGGGAATAAGTTAAACTTGGCTTGAGCAGGCAGAAAACTTGCCTGTTCAACACTCATCCAGGTTGTTGGGTTTTTTTCCAAGAGAAAAACTTTTTTTGCAAGAGAAAAACTGCAGCTACCAAAAACGTTTGCTTGTTTTCAGACAAAATCACTACAAATACAAGAATTGGTATCTAAGACAGCGGTGGTACAAACTGATGCCTATGAACCTTGCAGAAATTTAATTCTAGATGGAATGGGTCAGATTTCTTGGTCCAGTACTGAGGAGTACCCAGCCTAGAGCCATAAGCACAACCTTCAGAACTAACCTTGATCACAGAAGAGGCCACCCCATCCTTCATCACATATGCACTGCCATTGTGTTTTACAAGTCCCGTGGCGGCAGCCTATATGGGGAATGCATTCATCACAGTAGCGGCCTTGCCAACCGGGACGACAGCTAAAAGAAAAGTCAAATTAAAACATTAATGACATGGAAAAGAGTTTAAGTTTCTATTACAAGGCGACATTTTAACTGAAGTTCAGGTTGCAACTGCCATCTACTCACATGCACTCTCCAGGCTTGTTGCAATATCCATTCTGTTCAGTACATCCAGACAGACAGATGGCTGTAAAGAGAACATAAAAAAGCAGAAATGTTTAGGTAAATACACATGGCACTATGGAATACACTTTTAAAGGGTAAATGCCAGCTTTTAAAAGAATACTTTGAAAAACAGTTTTGCACTTTCACAGCTTTGTTTTAAAAATTCTCGGTACAGGGAGTTCTAGAGCAGGAGGAAATGAACAAGGAGAGCCAACATTTGACAAGTTGTTCTTTAGTTTTTCTGTTTATACAACAAACGTGAACTCTTGCAACTCTTGCTAGAAAAGGAGCAAGAGGAGGCAGCTTTGGCTTGTGCTAATGAAAGACTGAAAAAACCCAACGGGACCCTGAGCCCACAGCAAAGATTTCCACTACTACACCGCAACACCTGTCTCATCTCCTCTGGCAGCAGGAACGGTGGAAGCGTTTGTGTGGGCAAGCTGCTAGCATTTTAACTTGGAATAGATATCGCTGATTCAGGGATATCAGCCAAGATCCTTTCCCTGCTAGCTCTTTCTTTGCTGCTAACGCTCGCAGAGGTGAAGCACAGCATTGGCAGTTGCAGCCAAAGGGGCCAAAGTCCTCAGCGTGGAGCCTTCTCTCCCCAGGCAGGGAGTGGAAAGGTCAGCATGAAAACATGGCCCCAAGGGCCTACCGGGTAACCATACACAGCGCTTTGTTACCGTGCTGTCTCAGCCACCCTATTTTAAGGGCTGACCGCAAAGATGGCTACAACCAGGGTCAGGCCAGCTGGCGGAACCGGGCAAGGGGACGTGCTTTTGGGTCCCGAGTCCCTTCATCAAGTAAGCTCCCCGACGGTCGTGTTTTCTCGAAGGCCTCTTGAGCGTCACCCCTATCCCACGCGAACGCCCCGTCAGCGCAGACGAGGGCCTAGGGAAGCCAGAGCGGGTGATGTTCCTCAGTGCGCCGAGGCCTCCGCGAGCTTGAGGCCGGCCTGAGGCCCACGGAGGCCCCGGGGCGACGAGGGCGGCGTAGGGGCGCGCGGGGCGCCCCCTCCCTCCGCCTCGCGCGGCAGCCGTTGCCGGCGGC